GAGATTCCACTGCTGGATCCTCATTTGGATTGAAGCCTTAGAGATTATTTTTTAAAATACATTATTTATCATTTTATATTAACGTACACTTTGAAGCATTAATAATAATTGAAGTACAAAGGATCAGCAGAGATTTCAGGTCAGGGGATGTATGTGCAAAGGTGGTGTAAAGCTCACATTTGCACTCCCCTGATGCTGGCTATGTACAGGGCAAGACCCTCAGCGCAGAGATACACCAGCTGCAAATGGCCCCAAGAGGCTAATCCACAGCCAATGATCAATATGATGCACGGATGTCCCAGCAACCCTTCCTTATCTCTGATCACATCTCCTTTTTCTCTTTAGGGAAGGGGAGCATCTATATCATATTTGTACCACTGGAGGATACCCCTTGTATTGAGTAACTTTACTGTAATTTATAACTAGATGTGAATAGAATCTCCTGTATAATAACTGTGGTGTTTTCCTGAGACAGACTGACAGATTGTGGGCTTTGGAAGAGGCTTGGCAAGTGTTTAATCATTCTTAGATTATGGTTCCAAGGCTGCAGACACTTACTGGTCAAACAAATGAATCAAATAAGGGAAAACTATTTGTTAAATACAGTGGAATCTGGATTTTATGAACCCCAGTCTAACTAATGACCAGTAATACAAACCACAAAATAAATCACATAAAAAAAGTGATGTTGATGAAGAACTAGTTGACACCCTTTCACATTCTGATGCCTTCAGTGTATTGGAAATCACTTTGATGCCTTCAGTGTATTGGAAATCACTTTGAAGTGATTTGAAGCATGAGAAGAAAGTAATGCAGTGCACCATACTGCAACTTATGCACCATACCAGCTGTCATTTTGAAGTGTTCGATTTTTTTTGAGCTTTTTGATTTTATAAACTCTTCACTCCCAAATTAGTTTGCAAAGTAGGGTGGAAAGGGCTATAATTTAATCTATTCCTCTCCACAAAAATGAATTCTCTTTGTTAATGTCCTCTTGAGAAAAAAGAGAGCACTTCCAAAATGACACTTTCAATATTTTGAAAATCTCAACCCAGCAGGAGATGCACCAACAAACAATGCAGGGTACTAGTATGTTCTCATTGCATGATTTTGCTGTTCTCTTCTTGTGAGTGAAACAAGCAGGCTTCTGAAATTTAAAAGAATCTTCAGGGAGTTGATGGCTCAAAGAATTTGTAATAGGAGCCTAGAGCCTTTCACTGGTTGGTCACCAGTGTGAATTTAGCCCAGGACAGTAATGAACAAAAGTCATTCATCTGATGAGTTTCTTTGTGAATGAGTTGGTAGCTTCAGTGTAACTCCCCGGGGCAGTAGATATCCACATCACAAAATGCACTTTCTGAGTTGGTGGTGACTTGTGTCTTTGTTGGTAGTCTTAACAGAATATAAGGACTGAACCAGCATGAAAATAAAACTGTCCTTAGAGTAGCCTCCTCTATTCATGAGGGTTGTGAAGGGAGGAGGGAAACTTGTACTGCTTCTGCTCTAGCTGTACATGTTCAGAAAGAAATGAAAAGATCTCCAAGGTTATAAGTGAGACTGGTCATGCATGTAAGACCTGCAGAATTGGGCCTGTGCTTTCAGTACTATTTCCCCCCTACTTCTTCAAAACAAGCCCACTCGTTCGTAATGTAGAATTGTTAGAAAAAATGAGCCTAAAGAGAAAGTCTTGCAGAATTCTAGGATCACACAAATATAGGCCAATTTTACAAAGACAGAAAACTGAGTTCTAATGGGATAAAACATTTTTGAGTAGCATGAGTGCATTACCTGATGAAAATTTCAAGGGAGTTATGAAAGTCATTAGATCATCAGTGGTACAAATTTCATATCCTAGTGAAAACTGCTGTTCATTCTTTAAGCTGCTGCCTCTTGCCAAATTGCAGTTTACTAACAGCTACTTTTTGAAGCCAAAATGGGCTGTTTAAATTGCTGTGTTACTGTACATATTGTTCCTCAGAGAATAGTCAGATTATCACACCCACACTGCATTTGGACACAAGACAAAAGAATAGGTTTTTTTACTTTGGTGGATGGTGCTAAATACATTTGAAAAAAAGGTGGTAGTTCTGAATTTTTTTTTAATTGTAAAACAAAATTTAAGAATATTTAGAAACCCAGGAAAATATCTTAGGAAGTTTTAAATAATATGTTCTCTCAATACAACACAAATTTGTGAATCAAATGGTATTTCCTCCCAACATAATTCAGTGTTTCAGTTATTATAAAAGTAGTTTCACAGTGTGAGGAGGAAAGCTATATGAATATTTTGTCTTTTTACCATCAAAATTATTGGGCTTGTAGAAATATATATATACAGAGATTACTTTAATATTTAATATATTGACTTACTATAGGCGGGGTAGGTAGCCCTTCCTACTATTCAAGTTGCTCCACACTTTCCATTATTAAATGCTTTTTTCAGTTGCTCATACCCTCACCAAACTTTAACAGTTTGGGCTGACAGTTTTCATACCAGATGCTGCCTCAGACTGAATCTTTATGGAATAAAGCTGTAAAGAATAAAGCAAATTTTGATAATAAAATCAGCCATTAGGCTTATGAGGTTTTCACCTGCCAGCATCACCTGCTGGATATACACCTCTACCCTGATATAACACGACCTGATATAACACGAATTCGGATATAATGTGGTAAAGCAGCACTCTGGGGGTCGGGGCTATGCACTCCGGCAGATCAGCGCATCAGCATGTCTGGCTCCGACATGCCGCTCTGAGTGGCGTGTTAAGGGTGCCGGGCTGGGGCCGAGGGGTTGGATAAGGGGCAGAGGGTCTCAGGGGACAGTCAGGGGACAGGGAGCAGGGGGGATTGGATGGTTCGGAGGTTCTAGGGGCAGGGTGGTCAGGGGATGGGGAATGGGGGCATTGGATAGGGCATGGGAGTCCTGGGGTGATTAGGGACGGGGGGGTCTCTGGAGGGGGCGGTCAGGGGACAAGGAGCAGGGGGGCTTAGATAGGGTGGGGTCTTGGGAGGGGTGGTTAGGGACGGGAGGTCTCTGGAGGGGGTAATCAGGGGACAAGGAACGGGGGGGGTTGGATGGGTCAGGGGTTCTGAGAGGTCAGTCAGGGGGCAGGAAGTAGATGGGAGTCGGATAGGGGGCGGGGCCAGGCTGTTTGGGGAGGCACAGGATACTGCATACACCGTGTTAGTTCTAACAAAAATGATTTGCTGACTATTAACGGAAATGGTCGAGGCCAAAGCAAGTTTGATATAACGCGGTTTCACCTATAACGCGGTAAGATTTTTGGCTCCCGAGGACTGCGTTATATCGGGGTAGAGGTGTACATTGAGATATGAGCTTACTTCCCTTGGAAGTTTGGATAGCCTCTCTAGACTCAGAAAAACTTTCTTTTAGGTGTAGTGAGGCTGATGTGACTGCATATTGTGAGATAAACCTAAGCTACAGGCAAAATGTGGGGAACCTCTTTCTAAAGCACACA